TAAAGAGATTAGCACTTATATATTCTTAATAATAATATATCAAATTATTTAGCTTTGATATGGTATCACAAGCTCTCGTTCGAGATGGTCTCGTTTCCGCATAAAAAATCCTAGCCACCTTGATTGTAGTTCTTTGGTAAAAAAACCTAGCCACTTTTCATTATGGCTCTGTTTTCTGACACTGTTTCAGGCACAGCTACGTACTATTCACGGAACTGTTCTGGTATTGTTCACCACTGTTTTTCACATTGTTCTCGCACTGTTATGACATTGTCCCACACTATTCATCAATGCTCTCGTACTGTTTTGTGGTACTGTTCGTCGTCACTGTTTGAACAGCCGCATATATCTCCATTGAATTCTCAACCTCACACTCGCTTGTGGTTTTTTTACTCGCATTTGTTTCTAAAAAATTTCAATGGCTGACAATAAAGATGAAACAAATGCTTACAAGTCTAAATCAGAATTACCTATTATTTCTCAAGTTTACAAGTTAAATGGAAAGAATTATTTAAAGTGGTCTCAACTCGTAAAAACAATCTTGAAAGGTAAAGGAAAAGCAAAACACCTTACAGGGGCACCTCCCAAAGAGACAAATCCTAAATTTGACAAGTGGGATACAGAAGATTTAGCGATCATTGCATGGTTATGGGCTTCAATGACTCCAGAAATTAGTGATACTTGCATGTTCCTAATTACGGCAAAAGAGATTTGGAAAGCATTAGAAGAAACTTATTCTAAAGCCAAAAAGATGTTGCCCATATATATGATGTGAAGGTGAAAACACTAGGAACTAAACAAGGCAACAAAACAGTTAGAGAATACGCTAATCATCTCAAAGCCTTATGGATGGAGTTAGACCACTTTAGAGTTATCAAAACCGAATGTACAACAAATGCAACAAAACTTATGGAGTACATTGAGCAAGATAGAGTCTACGACTTTTTGGTAGGACTCAACTCTGACTTTAACCATGTTAGAGTACAAATTCTTGGCAAAGAAAAAGTACCGAACATTAATGATGTAGTGTCTGTAGTCAGGAGTGAAGAAAGTAGAAGGGAATTAATGTTGTCACCACCATCTGTGGAAAGCTCAGCAATGCTAGTTAAGAAGAGTTCAACCATGTTAGTTGATCAGAAGAAATTGGGAGAAACCTACGCCGAGAAGAAGGGCGAAGGGGTGTGGTGTACTTATTGCAACAAGCCTCATCATACTCAAGAAAATGTTGGAAATTGGTTGGTCAGCCTTCTAATAGAGAGTGGGAGACAAAAAAGAGACTTATCCAGGAAAAAAAAGGACATGCACACATGGCCCGAAGTACTAGTGGAGACAGTCTAGAAGGGGGGGTGCACCTTAACCTAAGTGAAGTAGAAAATGTGATATTTCTCCTCAGTAAGTTAGAGACACCAACATGTATTTGTTCCTTAACACATCCAAATACGTTTCTATTATCTTTTTCATTTGTAAACTCTCCGTTTTCGTTTGGACTTAATGCCTCAGATATACCCTTTAAACAATACTGGATACTAGATTCCGAAGCACTAACCATATTACACCCTTACCCACACACTTTTCCACCTATTCACCTTGCCCCAGTAACAAAAAAATATCCTCTGAAGATGGCACCCTTATAAATGTAGCAGGTGAAGAAACAATTAAACTTAATTCATCCATGACTCTTAAAAACGTCCTTCATATTCCAAAATTGACTACTAGCCTAATTTCCATACATAAACTCACAAAAGACCTATCTTGTAATGTTATTTTCAATAACTCTTGTGTTTTTGAAGACAAGAATTCGGGGAGGACGATTGGAAGTGCTAGAGAATGGAATGGTCTTTACAACTTGAATAACATAGATTCAAGCCCAGATTTTCTCAGTAGCAAATCGTTTTTGTCAGAATCAATAAAGACCAATGAGGGGAAGGTTTTCTTATACCATTGTCGCCTGGGTCATCCTTCGTTTAGAGTCATTAAGCAGTTATTTCCTGTTTTATTTAAGACATTAGATGTTGCGAGCCTTCATTGTGAGGTGTGAAAGTACTTTTCCATTTTATCTAATTCATACAGATGTGTGGGGTCCATCTAATATTCCAAAAATTTCAGGTGCCCGTTGGTTTATCACCTTTATTGATGATTGTACTTAGGTTACTTGGGTTTACTTAAACAAAAATCTGAAGTTAGTCGTGTGGTTCCTCAATTTCTCTTTATGGTTAAAAATCAATTTGGTATGAGTATTAAGAGGACTCGATATGATAATGCCAAAGATTATTTTAATCATAATCTTAATTTTTTGTGTCAAAGTGAAGGTATCACTCATGAGTCTTCATGTGTTAAAACACCCCAACAAAATGGAATTGCTGAAAGATAAAATGGGCATTTGTTAGACCAAACATGTGCTATGATATTTCAAAATAAAGTTCTCAAGAAATATTGAGGTGAGGCAGTTTTAACTGCATCGTATCTCATAAATTGTTTGCCTTCTACTGCCCTTGCTTCCAAAACTTTTATGCAAGTCTTATCCTCGTTCTATCCTATTGTGTCTACCTCTAGTAACCTCACTCCTAGGGTATTTGGGTGTACATTGTTCGTCCATATTCATAGTGATGGTAGAGGAAAACTTGATCTTAAAGCCTTAAAGTGTGTCTTTATAGGATATTCTTCCACGCCAAAAGGTTACAAATGTTATCATCCACCGTCTCACAAGTTTTTTGTCTCTCGAGACGTCACTTTCCATGAACAAGAAAGTCACTTCGTCGTCTTTAGGGGGAGAACGTAAATAAGGAAGATGTGTCTCATATACTTCCTGACCTTACTCTTGGAACTGAATGTGATTCTGAAAAAGATGAAACTGATGTAAGATATGGGAAAATTTTAGTATATACAAGAAGGAAGATCATTTCTGAATTTACTCATATTCAAGAGTCTGACCCGACATTACATGAGGTAAACTCTAACTCTAGTAATTCAACTTCTAAATTTTCTCATGAACAGGAACTAGAATCAAATTCAACTCTACCACCATTACCATCACATTATCAAAATTTACATATTCCAATTGCCCTTAAGAAAGATACCATAAACTGTACCAAACAACCACTTTACCCTCTATCCAACTACCTATGTTTTAAACATGTTTCACTTGCCCATAAAGTCTTCCTTACAAATCTGAACACTATAAAACTACCTATCTCTCTATCTGAGGCATTGTCTGATAGGAAATGGAAACAAGCCATGAATTTGGAGATGAAGGCACTGGAAAAGAACAATACCTAGGAATTGGTTTCTTTGCCAAATGGAAAGAAACCTGTAGGGTGCAAATGGGTATACGCTATTAAAAATCAAGCAGATGGATCGATTGAGAGGTACAAGGCAAGATTGGTAGCCTAAGGATTCTCTCAAACTTATGGAGTAGATTATTCAGACATTTGCTAGGTTGCAAAAATGAATACAGTTAGGGTGATATCATCTTTAGCAGCTAATTGTAATTGGAACTTAAACCAATTCGATGTGAAGAATACATTCCTTCATGGTGAACTTGAACAAGAAATCTACATGGATGTACCTCCTGGGTTCTGTGAAAATACTACCACCAACACCGTCAAGGAGATCATACGTCATTTATAAGACATTTTGAAATAGGGGAAGTAACTGTGTTATGTTATTGGTATATGTGGATGATATTATAGTCACAGGTATTGATGAGGAAGGACAACAATTATTGGATATACACTTAGTCAAGGAATTTGAGATTAAATCCTTGGAAAAATTGAAATACTTTTTGGAAATTAAAGTTGCCCACTCTAAGAAAGAAATTTTCATATTCCGACAGAAATACATTACTGATCTTCAGCAAAAAACTGGCAAGACGGCATGCAAGCCTACAAATACACCAGTTGATCCAAGTGTAAAGTTGGAAAATGCAGAAGAAGATATTGGAGTTGATAAGAAAATGTATTAGAGATTAGTTAGAAAACTTATATATCTCTCACATACTAGACCTGATGTTGCTTTTCCTGTTAGTTTAGTCAACCAATTCATGCACCGGCCAAAGGAGATTCACTTACAAGTTGCGCCGGAATTGTACAATATTTAAAAGGAACACATGGTAGATGAATTTTGTTTGAAAGAAATGAGAGTGTAGATCTTGAAGCATATATTGATGTTGACTATGCATGGTCAATTATGGATAGGAGATCAAGTACAAGTTATAGCACTTTATTAGGTGGAAATCTTGTGATTTGGAAAAGTAAGAAACAAAATGTAGTATCGAGATCTAGTGTTGAATAAGACTTTATTGTGATAATAAGTCGGCTATCAACATCTCATAACCCAATGCAACATGATAGAACCAAACATATTGAAATTAATAGACACTTCACTGAAGAAAAATTAGATAGTGGCCTTATTTGCACTCCCCATATATATCATCCCAAGACAACCTTGCAAATTTTCTGACAAAAGGGCTTAACAACAACTTTGAAGAAATTGTTTCCAAACTGAAAATAATAGATATATACTCACCAACTTGAAGAAAAGTGTTGTAAATAATTAATTAATTTATTATTTTTTTTGATAATTTAAGTTTGGATCTTTAGTAATGCTCATTAGATTAAAATACTCTATTTAAAAAGATTAACACTTATATATTATTAATAATAATATATCAAATTATTCAGCTTTGATAGGTACTTTCATCAATCAATCGATTTATTTAAAAACAATTAATATTGCTCATTATCAAAATCGATTTTACCAGCAAAAATGCTTATATTTACTTCAAACCTTATTTCTAAATAGAAATACATAGCGCTGAACGCAACAGTTTAAAACTTTATCACCCAAGTTTTTTTTATGCTATGAACAAAAACACTATCATTCACTACGAGACAGAAAAGATTATCAGAATCAAGAATCTCCTTCATCAAATCTAACGTAAGGCATGACTAAGAGGTTTTTTTGTGGGTAAATTATACTCGAGGGTAATTGCTATCCTCATGCTAATCCACGGGAACCTCAGCTTCCATCTTCAAATCCGAATTGCCAAGAATCTATCAGTAAAAAGGGATGGTCAAGCATTTTTTTCAAATGAAACATGGCAAAGTTAACAAATACCAGCAGGTAGCAGTGTTCATTGTGCATGGTACAAGTCCAGCATGAGTATGAAGATGTAAGAACCAAAAACAACCACAAGCATGGATTCGGTTGAATCACCCTCAACCAGTAGGAAGCTTGAAAAAAGCAATGCTCATTGGCAAAGATAATCATAAAGTTTATATATGCTAAATCTAATTAGAATGTGTTTCAACTGAAGATATCAAAGTTGGTTTAGCTTATTGACACTAATGTGCGGGAGCAGTTCAGAGAGCCTGCCACAAACCTATGGCCTGGTATGTACTAGTCAGGGCCTAGTGAAACTAAATAAGTTAGGTTAAAGGCTTTTGACAAACAATTTAGTAAGAAAAAGCAAGACTTCAAACGATCTGAAAAGCTTTTCTTTAAGTAAAAAAAGTTTATCTATTTATATTACAACAACCAAGCGTTATCCCAATAAGTGGAGTCGGCTACATGGATCAACCTTCGCCATAATTGTTCTATCCATATAATGTTATATCCAGAACCATGTTTATATCCAAATCGGCAATCTCGCCATAATGATCTATTTATATTAATAAAGTTGATACAAAAATATTTATATCAAACATTATTTTTTATTTGTGTGTAATATCTTAAACTTTAATACTAGGTCTGTTTAAACTTTAAAGGCTTGACCCTTTAACCTTCATAAATGCTCAAGCCAATGGCTATGAGGCTCTGTTTAGAGGTAAGCATTATAGCATGTGTGAAAGTCTTGCTGCAAAATTCAAATAGGATTTCAGACCCTGTTATACTCTTATAACATTCAACCCTTGGAAATAAGCCTACATATGTTCCAGTCAAGCTTAGGCCTAACTTGCAACTGTCACTCCAAGCTTACGTGTGCAATCATATAGAAAACGGTTAAACTCCTAACTTGCATTAAGGATTTTAGGCAACTATTCTAACGAAAGCTTTCCATGCCTTTGAAGTAAATAGTTAAAATTCATGATCAGAGTAGTCAATAGCGGCCAGTAGCAGCGATATCCTGCTATAGCGGAGCGGAGCGGAGGCCGACCCTATGGGAAAAGCCTTAGTGGTGAAGAACACTAGAGCAGCTGCTATAGGATAAATAGTGGGATAGTGGAGCAGAGCGGTTCCCGGATCAGAACGGTTTCTGGACCGCTATCCTTAATTTTACAATGTTTTAAGGGTAATTTCAGATTTTTAATCAAATTTGAGTTGAGACTCAACCTTAACCTTTCTTCATAGTCGTTTATACACTTCAAGGGTTATGCGTGCTTTAATTTATGAACATTTTGAGTTGAATTATTTGTTTAATTATACATTAAATATATGTTTATAATTATTATATGTAGCTTTTTCATAAAACGATCAATTACAGCGGTCATCCTGCTATACGCTGTCCCACTTTTGGGTCAGCTGCTCCCCGCCGCTATCCGGGAATGACTACTCTGTTCATGATAATAGTGAGAAACAACAAAAAGACTCTATGCATTATTCCTAACCTACCACTTGTCTAATAACATGTTTACAGAAATGAAACTTAAGTATTCCAGATCAACTAGTGATGTTAGATATTAGTTGTTTCAGTACCTTCATGAAGTCAGACAAGACTAAAAATGAATCCTTTGCATAGCCAGCTTCCTCAAGGACCTGTGCCAGAACTTCCTGTATGTACAAAGAAAGCAAAATACACCAGAGGTTGTTAAAAGCAGACCAAATCATCCCTCGCTATCTTGGGCAATTGAAATGTAAAATAACAATAACAAAAGAAAACTGATATCCTCCAATAAAGTTTCCACTCTCAGCCTCATTAACAAATTTTCAACTACATATACCCACTGATAACCACTTCATATAAATACTTGTTTTGGTTGAGAATAAATTATATGATTTTTACATTCATCTAAGAGAAGGATAAATGTTTCATCCTCCAGTAATACACAGACAGATTTATTTTTTGAAGGGGTGAAACGAAAAAATGGAATTAGTAAAACTTTTCTAAGAAAGCTTTATCTCATCTGCTGAGTTTAAACACTGTCTGTTGTGCAGTTTTCCAGCTTCTCTGGACTTAATTCCATAAACTGGTCCATACACTCCTTAACTTATCTTATTAATTTAATTGTCAATCCCTTGAAACATCAAATTCCATAATCGGTTTCAAAAGAACCCGAAATAGAAAATGAGTATTCTCTATATTAGATAACTAGGAAGGAAACAACGAAAGGCTAATTCATACAAAGAAAACACGACAACGACAACCAAGTCTTATCCTACAAAATGGGGTCGGCTACATGGATCAACTTCTGCCATAATGTTCTATCCAGAATCATGTTTCTATCCAAATCGTTAATCTCGAGATCTTTCTCATTAACTTCTATTATAGTTTTTCTAGAATACAAAGCAAAGGAGAAAAACAAAATTGCATAACAGAAAAGCATTAGAAAGTTGTAATTATCGGTAACCTTTCTCTGATCTTCAGACATATATTGTCCAGTCAAATCCCTCAAAACTGTCAATATATCATCAAAGCTAACTTTTCCATTGCAATCAGTATCATAAACCTTGAAAATAACTACAAAACAAACACACCACAATTCATTCAATCCAATCCAATCCAATAAAATAACAAACCTATCATTAAATTTTTCATTCATTCAACGAATTCATAGATGTTAAGATCAACTAGCACATACATACATACATACATTCAATTTTGTTTTGGAGAGTGGCGCGTGGACTGAACGCAGACAAAAAAGCTATAAACTCCTTGAAGTTGAATCCATCCAGCATTCTCAACAAACTCTGTTAATTCAACTATTAAATTGCATTCAGCATTTTAAATTCGATTCCGTTTAGAGAAAGATTGATACGAAGTACAACCTGAGAGAGAGGATTGACGGCGAATTCGGGAATGGAGAGAAATTCATCGGAAGGAATGAAACCGCAATTGTTGCGATCGAGTTGACAAAAACGCTCGTATAGAGAAACGATCTCTTGCTGCGTAACTAGACGGAGAAATTGAAGTTGTTAGGAAAATTGGAATGGTGAGAATTGAATAGAAGGAGTGAGTGGTGGTGATGTTACATGCGTGATTGCAGTGTTGCTGGACTTCTTCAATGTCGTACTGAGTGAGCATGGAGGATGTGTTACCCATCGTTACCGACGAAGTTGAACTCTTGAACCGAGGCTACAACCCCTCGGAGACGGAGATCTCGATGAACTGCGGCCAACTACTTTTGAGCCCACATCAATCAATGCGTTCGTTTTTGGCCCAATGGGCTCACGTTACTCTAATTCTGATAAGGGAATTGCTTTTTCCACCTTACATGTGTTCTCCCTCCAATATAAAAATTCACAAATGTTTTTATTCCGGACGCACATATTTTGTTATTTTTAGATGAAATTAATGGAGTGCTTCTATTATGTCAAAATTCAATTCAAAGATGAATCTCCGTATGCACTGGAGGTACGTCTGAAAATGTATTTTCGTACATATCGTTTATTTAAAAGTTAGTGGATGGCCTAAGGATGCATCTTCGACACTTTTGCTTCATATGTTCTTTTCTAAACTTCTCTTTTCCTCCTTCATTTTCTAAAAACTTCTCAAAACAAAACATGTGAGCTCTCACACATTCAAGCATCACATCCATTTATTCAAATTTCTACTATTGGAGTTCTTTCTCCTCCTTTCCAGCATCTCATATATCCAAGTTTCTCCTTCTCTTTCTCATCAATTTGAGTTTGTAAGTTTTTAAAAATATTCTCTTTTTATGTTTTAATTTGTAGCTAGTTGTTTAAATTACATCATTTATTTTAGATGCATTAGATAGTAATTTAAACGAAATTGGTAGCCTACAAGAACATTCATTGACAATAACGGAGAATAACAAAATATTCATTGATGATGTCGGTCCTAGCAACTAGAGTGCAAGATTTGCACGCAAGTGTCTTCCTAGCTTCAAGCTCAACAATTAGACGTCTACCATCGTTCCCGTGGTTTTTCCTACAAACGTGTAATGCATTTTGCTTTCCAGATCCTTCGTTATCGCCCGAGACGAGAGGATAACTTATAAAAGGCCTCCCGCTTCTGACATATTATGTGATCAACAAATAAAAGTTTTTTGCATTCAAATCATGCTCTATTTTCTTTCTTTATTTTATCTTTTTCACAAATAACAAATGACAAAAGTTTCTTTTATTATTTTCACCTTTTAAATAGCTCATTCTAAACAAAATTCATAAGCATGCAGAACAAATAAATGCATTGATAACAACATAGAAAACATCCATTGTAACTCTGGGATTCTAACCAACCAAGCCGAAGAAGATGGTGAGGAAGATTGTGAATTACCGGCTAAACTAGCAAGGCTTCTTGAGCATGAGCAGAAAGAGATTCAGCCACACAAAGAGCCGATAGAAGTTATCAACTTGGGCACTGATGATGTCAGAAAAGAAGTTAAGGTCGGGGCATCTCTCGCCAAGCTTGTACACTCCGAGTTAGTCAAGTAATAGCAAGAGTATGTTGATATCTTTGCCTGGTCTTATCAAGATATGTTTGGGTTGGATACCAGCATTGTTGAACATCACTTGCCACTCAAGCCTGAATGTCCTCATGTTAAGCAGAAACTCAAAAGGACCAGACCCGACATGACACTTAAGATCAGAGAGGAGGTAAAGAAACAGTTTGATGTTGGGTTCCAAGCCACTTCCGAATATCCTAAATGGGTTGCTAACATCGTCTCGGTTCCTAAGAAATATGGGGAGGTCAGAATGTGTGTGGATTATTGAGATCTCAATAAGGAAAGCCCGAAAGATGATTTTCATCTGCCTCATATTGATGTCTTAGTGGACAACACTATGCAGTTCTCTGTCTTATCATTCATGGACGGGTTCTCAAGATACAATCAGATCAAGATGTCCCCAACTAATATGGAGAATACCACCTTCATTATGCCTTGGGGTATATATTGCTACAAAGTCATGCCATTCGGTTTGAAAAACACATGAGCAACATATCAACATGTTATGACAATCCTCTTTCATGATATGATACATAAAGAGATTGAGGTTTACGTGGAAGATATGATTGCTAAATCCAGAACTGAAGAGGATCACTTGGTTCATCTGAAGAAACTGTTTGACAGACTATGAAAGTTCAGATTACGATTAAATCCTGCAAAATGCACCTTTAGAGTTTGATCTGGTAAACTATTGGGCTTTATTGTGATTCAGAATGACATTGAAGTTGATTCCGACAAAGTTTGAGCAATTCAAGATATGTCGCCTCCCAAAACAGAAAAAGAAGTTTGTGGCTTTCTGGGTAGACTTAATTAAATCTCCATATTCATTTCTCATTTGACGGCTACCTGTGAACCGATATTCAAATTGCTAAGGAAAAATCAATCGGTTGAATGGAATAATGATTGTCAAGAAGCTTTTGAAAAAATAAAAATATATTTGCAAGAACCATCGATCTTAGTACCACCGGTTCCTGGTAAGCCTTTAATCATGTATCTCACTGTTCTTGATGAATCTATGGGTTGTGTATTGGGTCAACATGATGACACTGATAGAAAAGAACATGCAATTTACTATCTAAGCAAGAAGTTCACCAATTGTGAGACCAGATACTCACTCTTGGAGAAAACTGTTGTGCTCTGTTTTCAGCTGCTTGACGCCTAAGACAATACATGATTTGCCATACTACTTTATTGATATCCAAAATGGATCCGATAAAGTACATATTTGAAAAGTGTGTTGTCTGTGAAAGAATTGCTCAGTGGCAAATGTTGTTAACTGAGTATGATATCCAGCATGTTACCCAAAAATCGATAAAAGGGAGTGTCTTGTCTGACTACCTTGCTCATTAACCTGTAGAGGATTATAAAAAAATGAAGTTTGACTTTCCAGATAAGGATGCTCTATTTATCAGAGATTATGAAACTCCAGACCCTGATATAGGACCCGAACCAGGAGCACGATGGACGCTCGTGTTCGATGGTGTTTCCAATGCTCGAGGTCATGGAATTGGTGTTATCCTCATCTCTATGACATGTTTTCATCTTCCATTTACACCTTTAGATTATGCTTTGAATGTACCAACAATATGGCTGAATACGAAGTATGTATCTACAGAATTGGAGCGGCCATTGACATAAGAATCAAGACTCTTGAGGTCTATGGGGACTTTGCCCTGGTGATTGGCCAAGTCAGAGGGAATTTTGAGACTTAGGATTCCAAGTTGGTTCTGTACCAAAAGCACATCGCAAAATTGATTCCCTATTTTGATGATATCACTTTTCATCATATTCCGAGGGAAGAGAGTCAACTAGCAGATGCTCTCGCCACCCTGGAATCCATGTTCAAAGTCAAGTGGAAGAACGAAGCTCATGCTATCTGCATTGATCATTTGAATGAACTAGCACATTGTTTAGTAATCGAGGACAAGTATGATGACAAGCCTTGGTTCTACGACTTCACGAGATATTTGGAAAAACAGAAACACCCCAAGGGTATCACTATCACTGACAGGAAAGCTCTTTGATGGCTCTGCGCCAATTTTTTTTAAGTGGTGGGGTATTATACAATAGAAGTTATGACTCCGTGTTGCTTAGATGCATGGATACCAACACGATCATAAGGTCTATACATGAGGGTTGTGAGGATGTATATGCTAAAGGGCCTGCCATGTCTAAAAAGATCCTTTGAGCTGGGTATTATTGCACAATAATGGAGGTCGATTGTTACAACTTTGCCAAAAGATGTCACAAATGCCAAATCTATGGTGACAAGATTCATGTGCCACCAACTTCATTGAATGTTTTGACTTCTCCTTGGCCCTTCTCTATGTGAGGTATTGATATGATTGGGGTGATAGAGCCAAAAGATTTTAACGGTCATCGATTCATTCTAGTTGCTATCGATTACTTCACCAAGTGGGTTGAAGTTGCTTCTTACGCAAATGTTACATGACAAGTGGTTGTCAGATTTATCAAGAAAGAGATAATCTATCGCTATGGTATTCCTAGCAGCACTATCACTAACAATACTAGCAACCTGTATAATAAAATGATGAAGGAGTTGTGTCAAGAATTCAAGATTGAGCACCATAACTCTTCACCATATCGGCCCAAGATGAATGGCGTCGCCGAAGCAACAAACAAAAACATCAAGAGAATTGTCCAGAAAATGGTCAAGACTTACAAGGATTGACATGAAATGCTTCCCTTTACATTGCATGGCTATAGAACTTCAGTTTGTACTTCTACTTGAGCAACTTCGTAATAGCTTGTGTATGGTATGATGGTTGTTATACCCATTAAAGTCAAAATTCCTTCGCTCAGAGTCATCATGGAAGCAGATCTCGATGAAGCTGAATGGGTTCAATCTATATTCGACCAACTGAATCTTATTGAAGAGAAAACTTTGATAGTCGTTTGCCATGGTCAATTGTATCAGCGACGCCTTAAGCGAGCTTTTGACAAGAAATTTTTCCCTCGAGCGTTCCAAGAAGGCGAACTTGTGCTCAAGAGATATTATCATGTTCACTCGGATCCACAAGGCAAGTGGACTCCTAATTAAGAAGGACTTTTATTGTCAAGAAGGCCTTCTCAGGCGGAGCCCTGGTCCTCACCACCATGGACGGGAGGAGTTGCCACTATCCATGAACTTTAACATAGTCAAGAAATATTATGCCTAAAAAAAAGAATAAAGATCCCGCTAAATTGAAACTCGTAAGGACAATCTAGGAAAAAATGCACGTCCCGATGGACCAAAAAAGAAATGCCCACGCAAAAGCTAAGGACTGTGGAAACTGCGAAAAAAAGGCCGGCGGAAACAAACAAAAGAGTCGCCACCGAATGTTATTTATCCCAATGAGAGGGAAAGGAAACAATCGAAGAAAACCTAAGAGAAAGGAGAAGACAAGGTCATCGCAACCAAATCTTGGGTTCAGGAGTCGCTTACGCAAGGGGAAAGTATAAGCACCCTTCACACCTGTTGTACTCAACGGGATCCACGTTTGTTGTCTAATCAAAGGGTGTGTTATCTAAAGCTACTTCTAAATAGAAACGGGAAAAGGAAAAGAAAAAGGAGACTCGATAGGACATCGCCGCCCTATGCCTACGTATTCCCTCGTGCAATGGGAAAGTTATA